CATTATTAATATAATTGGGGAGAACCCTCTTCCCCTTGCTGCACACTCACAATTGCTAAGGACTGTTAAAATAAAATGATCTGAAACATGATAAAAAATATGATGAGTCCATTCCTTAGGAATGACATAACAATATCGATAAGATGGAAAGTTAGTTGGAATTTGCCCTTTAGTTCCTTAAAGACCTGAACTTCCCCAATTTTGACTATATAGACATACCTTAGTCCTAAATTATGACATTGAAGGACACAGCAATATTTTTTGTTTATTTTTAAAAAGATTATATTATTTTCTTTCACTTGTTGAGTTGAGGCAAGGACTTTTAATAAAAGTGCATAATAGTTACATAATGACATGTCTAAAGTACTCCAGTAATGCTGGTTACCTTAGTAATCTGTCAAAGCTATATATGAGTTTGATAATTATCTAGTTTTGAATTTCTACTTAATTATTGAGGATTATATGATATTTGAAAAAGTATATCTTAGGGCTGGCATTGTGGTACAGTGGGTTAAGGTTTTTTTTTTTTTGCGATGCCGGCATCTCATATCAGCCCATTTATTCAAGTCTTGGCTGCTATGCTTCCAATTCAGCTGCCTGCTAATGCACTTGGGAAGGCCCCAAGTATTAGGGCCTCTACCAACCACCTGGGAGACCCAGATGGAATTCCTGGCTCCTGGCTTCAACCAGGCCCAGATCCAGTTATTCCAGTCACTGGGGAGTGAACTAGCACATAGGAGAGCTTTCTTTGTTTCTCCTTCTCTTTTTGTCATTCTTTCTTTCAAAGAAAAATATACTTTCAAAGAAGCTATAGTTTCTAACTAGCAATGTATGAGCAGCAACTTGATAAATCTGTTTTTTTCTTGGGCTATTTTCAGAAATATGTTCAGAGGTTCTGTTACTCATTATGCTTCTCTTATTTTCGGTAGAGAATCAAGTCCATGTTCTGTACCTCTTTGAAGCGTGAATTAGTTTTAATGAAATGTAAAATATTCATAATCCATCTAACACATTTAATGATCATTCAAGAATTTGATATTTCTATTGCTTTCTAACACAATGTAGGAAAACACGCTTCACTTATCATTAGGATTTGTTTGACAAATGTCAACTTATTTTCAAAATAAGCTGATCAGCCTTATAATTTAATCAAAAGTTAGTGACTAAATTGTCACTCTAAGTCTATACATAATCCAGGCAATGTACTGACACTTCCTAAGTAAGTTTTTCAAACTTGTTATTTTGTTTTCACAGTTGATGCTCAAAAACATAGAAACTCAGCCTATTAATGACAGCAAACAACAAAAATCCTTCATGAAGATTCATGTGTGGCTAGGAGAGGAAAGAGTGGGAGAGGAATTTTGGTGAGGCCCATTATGTACGGAGCACTGAGGAGCTAACTGCACAGGTCTCATTTTGTGGTGTGAAGCTGTGAGTTTGGAAAGTGTATCACACCTTGACCACCATGGCTTATGCCTCTGTTCAGTTTCTCAGCTCTGACTGCTTCCCTTATTGCTGCTTGTAGTAAAATGGCAAAGAAGCTGGGAGACTTTCTTGCAGACCAGTGGAAGGATGTAGTTATAGTATAGTATTTTGGAGTTGTTTGGGACTTTAGAGTTTATCAAATCCAATCTCAGGGAGACTAAACAACTTTCTCAAGGTCCTGTTGTCATGAAGTTGTGGGTTCCTTGTACACTGGACCAGTTTCATGCATTATCATGCATTCTAACTGTTGTACGTGTGGTATTGAATGTCTTTCTGGTTCCTGGGATCTTGGATTAGGTGGATCCCATTACCTTGCTTTCATGTTATCTTATTCCATTTCCATGGGTAGCTGCTGGATCTCTGAATGCATTGTTCTGTCTGGGGAATTCTGAGAAATCAAACCAGAGATTTGAAATTATCAGGCTCAAGTGAAAGCAAATTAGGATTTATCGAAGTGTACACTAGGAAGCTCAACCACAAAACTGATTGAAAGGCTAAGCCTGAATATACGAATCTTCCTAGATATTTCTCACAATGCATTCTTTTGTGCCTGCATTATCTATTACATTTTTATAAGCACTTTTTATTCAGGCTAGAGCTAGAAGAATGAAAAGTTTATGAAAGGATCAAAGCATTTATGTCTCAATTTCCTTGAGCTCTAGTGGGAATCCCTTCACACTGCTGAATCTATTCATAGAGACATGTTTAGGAGAGAAAAAGAAATCATCTGGTATTGTATCAGTGAAATACTCATTCATTCATTCATCTGTGTGTGTGTGTGTGTGTATGTATGTGATGTGTGTGTGTGTGTGTGTCTATGTATGTATGTCAAGGTGTAATCAGTTATTATTTCCACAAGCCCAATTTTGCCTTTGGCTAGCTATAGGATATTACTCAACAAGCTATCTTGAGTTCAATGTGAATACAATTTCCCTTATACTCTTTAACAACTGTATTTTGAGATTTTTAACTTCAGCATCTATAGATATTGAAGATAGCTTAAGCTAGGTCCTTAAGATGTTTGCTACAAGAAATGAAAACAACCCTCCCAGCTTTAATCTTTTATCTTCATGAAGTTCTCTTCTTGATCATAGCTGCTTGCATGCCTGTCTGTGCCATTTCTGGGTTATATGTTTCCTCCTTTCTATTACATAACAAGAAGACTGCCCTCTAAAGTGAGTATTGGTACACTTCGAGCTGGTCTTGGTTGACACAAATTAATTAGAATTGTAAATTATTACATAATTCTTCCTTCTACATTGGATCTGTAGTTAAAATGCTGGCACTCACTAATTAACAGGCTCGATTCTGCCTTTTCAGAGAGGCTAGTTCATAAAGGATTTGATGCTTTCTTCCCTGAAACAAACAAAAACAGCTTTGGAACTGTCAGAAATAACAGCAGCTCTTGAAGGCTAATCATTACCAGCTTTTGTCATGTGGTTGTAATTGTTGCATGAATTCTGCTTCAATCAGGGAAAAATATGCTTAAGTGCCAGTAAAAGTTTTTATGCTGCTATGAAATTTTGCAATTTATGGCTTTGTACAGATCAGCCTGTGTTACTAGGCAACACCGTATGTGTTGCTCACTCAAATTATTCCTTAATCCCCAGTGTTGCTACAAATTGTAGCTCAAGAAAAAAAATCATAATAAACTCTTATAACATAGGGTTAAATTCTGATGATAAAATTGAAATGGAAGTTGCAATGCTGACAAAGGAAGCAGTGTTTTTTTTTTTTTTTTTAACTACACTTAATCAGAAACAATAAGAACATTTAGACCTTGCCTATATTCATCTCAGGAAAAAAAAAGTGGTTTCACATGAATTTAATGATCAGGTATTTCTCTGATTGGTCATTAAGCGGGCCAGGTTTTGGCACTTAAGCAATCATATCTATGATGCTGGTTTTAATTAAGAAGTACACTGCAGGGTATTCAATGACCAGGGAAGTGCAGGATTGCTGCTTGCTTGCTGTGCATCCATATGCATTTGAGAAAAAACAAACCCTGAAAGAGATACAAGGGCTCTCTCCCTCCATCTTTACGTTGACCGCCTGCCTGTGACCGACCGCGGCTGCGCAGAGACTGACTCTGAGGATTGGCGCCAACTCTAAGCACTCTCACTTTCCCGGCAAGAGGTTGCAACTTGTTCCTCCCGCAACACCAAATAACATGGCACTGGATTCACTTCAGAGATGTGCGATGTCAGAGCCATGTTAGCGAAAGGCTAGAACCGTGTTAGAACAGCTGCCGGAACCTTGGTTTGTGGTTTGGAGGACTTTCTGGTTTGAATACTTTCAGTGTTTTGAATTTCTGTTCTGATTGTTCTCAAGCAGCCTAAATGAAAAACAGTCACCATGCCAAAAGCAACAGAAGTCACGTTGTCAACGGACACTCCTCAAGTTTTATTTCAGTGCAACTGTCACGTGCCCATATAGGAAATGCCTCGTAGGAAAGTGCATGAGATGCGCATGCGTAGAAATGGGAGCTGTGAGCTCAGGTTCTGGCTGACTAGACCTCACTTTCTGGATCCTCACTGCGTGAAATGCGGCCAGGGAGCAGCCCCAAGGGAATACTCTAGGAGCTCGTGAGGAATGCAGACTCCCAGGCCCCACCCCCGACATTATGCATCAGAATCTGCAGCCTCACAAATTTCCCTGGGTCAAGTGTATTTAACGCCTTTCGAGACTGGGGGGCACAGCTCAAAACAGAGCTGGATCCCCTCTGCCACAGGCCCTTTGCTTTGCTGGCTCAGTGTCTCTCCAGCTGGGAGGTGTGACCCAGGAGGGTGCGTAGGAGTTGTCACTGTGAAGAAGAAAGGAGGACAAGCTGCTTCTGAGCTGGGGACAGCTTATTAGAGCAGCTTCTTCAGTGACACTCTAGGCTTCTCCCTTCCAATTACCTGCAAAACTCCCTCCCCTTCCTTCCCTGATCTCCTGGGGGATGATTTGTCGCTTCCTCCAATTGCCTTCTCCTATTCTCAGGGCTGACCTATGGTGTGAGATTAAGAGCCCTAGAAGCATCTTCTGCACCAGAGTTCTCTCCTCGCTGTCTGACACTGATTTACAGTTGGGATTTCACTTCCAAAGCTCCACTCTTTTAGGAGGCCTTGTCCTTTGTGGAAACAGGGAGCCTCCCACGTGGGCTTGGCCTGATGTCTTCACTGGTGAAATATAGGGGTAGGAGAGACCATCCACAAAGATGTCTCCTTGCCTGAAATCTTTGTTTTTGAAGATTTATTTATTTGGGGCTGGCACTGTGTGTATCGGATAAAGCTGCCACCTGCAGTGCTGGCATCCCATATGGGCACTGGTTCGAGACCCGGATGCTCTACTTCCAATCCACCCTCCTATGGCCTGGGAAAGCAGCTCTGGCTATCTGGAGAGTGAACCAGCAGATGGAAGACTTCTCTCTCTCTCTCTCTCTCTCTCTCTCTTCCTTTCTCTCTCTGTAACTCTGCCTTTCAAATAAATAAATAAAAAAGATTTATCTATTTCAAATAAATAAATAAAAAAGATTTATCTATTTATTTGAAAGGCAGAGTTACAGAGAGGGAGAGACATACAGAGAGAGACAGAGAGTTCTTCCATCTGCTGGTTCACTCCTCAGATGGCTGAAACTGCCAGCGCTGGGCCAGGCCAAAGCCAGGAACCAGGAGCATCATCCGGGTCTCCTAGGTGGATGGCAGGGGCCTAAACATTTGGGCCATCTTGCACTGCTTTCCCATTATATTAGGATAGGAAGTAGGAGGTAGGACATGAACCAGCCCCCCACGGGATGCCAGCATTGCAGGTGGCAGCTTAACCAGCTACACCACTCAGTTCTAGCAACTTTCTATGGAAGGTGGATTTCTTCATAGGCAAGACCCGCATTTTGACTTTTGTCATGAAAGTGTGTGTTTTCATCTTTTGGAGCAAAACCTAGGGAAAGCCAACGTACTTTGCCTAAGAGGAAATTTGGGGATTCTTCATGCCTGCAGAATGGAGGAGAGGAAAAGAAGGGAAGGGAAGGAAGTAGGAAGCCAGGGAGATAAAGGGAGGACCTCCCACCCCAGGAAGTGGGTTTCCTTTGCTTCCCTCTTGAGCTGATTGAACAATGCACACACCGTGCTTGATGTGAGTGGGTTTCTCGTGGACAGTAAAGAAAGGGCTGTGTGTTCTGGGCTATGTGGTGTACAACAGAAACAGTTTGTAACAGACGAGGAGCCCAGAGGAGCAAAAGGAGGAAGAGGACCTAAGCAGCCCTTTGGCCCTTGGGTGGACAGCATCGAGCTCTGCCCAAATCCTTTCTACAGTGAGGGATTTTGTGGGTGGGGTGGTCGGGTGGCACTCACACCCAGAGTCTGAGAGAGATGATGGCCAACAGCCCTTACCTGAGTTTGCTCCCGTGGATCCTGTCTGCTGGAGAGAGGGAAGAGCACATCCAGAGACTGGTCAGTGTGGGGCAGGAAGGTCAGGCCCTTGGCCCAAATTTGGTGGAGCTCTGCAAGGCCATTCTGGCTGCTGAACTCCCTGTGGGATTGTCTGAGACTTCATTGACATTGAATCCTTGTAGCCCAGCTTCCTCCTCTTCCTGCTTCCTTTGTTTCCTCACAGATGTTCTTGGGAGCACTCCTCAAGTCCTGCACACAACTGGTATCTCGTGGTGTGCCACTGGGGAACCCAACCTGTGAAACGTGCTGATCTCCTCAGGACTCGCAGAGATCTTGGGCAAGGACTCAGATTTCCATGAATGCTACAGGTGATGGGGAGGAGGAGACAGCAATTTTACCTGTGTCTGATGAGGGTGGCAGGAAAGCCCAGGTGAGGCTGAATATTTATGTAAATCTGTTAGCAGCATTTTTGTCAGCAACTTTTGGAGTTACTGCCAAATGTGCAAAGGCAGTGTGTCTAGACTTATTCCTGAAGTTGCTTACAGCAACGTTCTAGAATCCTTCTCGATATAGCCACCAAATCATGGTGGCGGGCTCAGGTTAAAAAAAATCCACATCTGTTTTCCAGGAGTAGAATTTCTCAGCTTGTGTCTTGTGTATAATAACAAGAACCTTCTGGAAAAAGTATTCATAGACAGTCTCAAGTTTAATTTGGAGTCATAATATTGCATATTGGAGGTATAATATTGGATACTCTTATTTTAGAAGTGGGTTCTGGGCTTATAGAATGATAGACACCAGTGACAGCAGAAAAAATATTCCTTTATGGAAGTTTTTGATTTTATCTCTCTAGTATTAACATGTTTGAGTTAAAAAGCTAAATAAGCCATAGGGTGGGAGCTACAGCCTTGATATTATCACTCCCAACAAAGTCTAAATATTGTTCTTACTCTCACAAGGTTATGAACAAAAATTAATTTTTTTTTTGTACCGCACTGATCCGAAGGCAGGAGCCAGGTGCTTCTCCTGGTCTCCCATGGGGTGCAGGGCCCAAGCACTTGGGCCATCCTCCACTGCACTCCCTGGCCACAGCAGAGAGCTGGCCTGGAAGAGGGGCAACCAGGACAGAATCCGGCGCCCTGAGCAGGACTAGAACCCAGTGTGCCGGTGCCGCAAGGCGGAAAAATTAATTTTTAACTTCTGTAAACTAGTCACTTGCTACCAGTACTTTTTAAAAATGTGAGGTGAGGTTATATGAATGACATTGGTAACTTTTGTGCAGAGAATGATTACTTGGAATGTAGACGTTTAGGTATTATCTGCATTATAATTTATATATATATTTAAATATTTTATTTTTATTTATTTGAGAGGTAGAGTTACAGACAGTGGGAGGGCAAGACAGAGAGAAAGGTCTTCCATCTGCTGGTTCACTCCCCAAATGGCCACCACAACTGGAGTTGGGCTGGTCTGAAGCCAACAGCCAGGAGCTTCTTCTGGGTCTCCCACAAGGGTGCAGGGGCCGAAGTGCTTGGGCCATCTTCTACTGCTATCCCAGGCCATAGCAGAGAGCTGGATTGGAAAAGGAGCAACTGGGACTAGAACCGGCACCCATATGGGATGCTGGCACTGCAGGCGGTGGATTAACCTACTGCACCATGGCCTCGGCCTCCAATAATTTACATCACTTACTCCTCATGTAGGATCTCTGTCCTTAATGTGCTGTGCATTGAGATTTAATGCTATAACGAGTACTCAAACAATATATTTCACTTTGTGTTTCTATGGGGGTGCAAACTGTTGAAATCTCTTCTTAATGCATACTAAACTCATCCTTCGGAATAAAACAAAAAAAAAAAAAAAAGGAAAAGAAACTATCAACTCCCAACTTGACTCTCACTGGGATTAAACATGACAATAGGTCTGATCTGATTTCATCATCATTAAAAAAAATCATCTATTATTTTTCACTTTATGTTTCTGTGTGGGAGCAAACTGTTGAAATCCTTACTTAATGTATACTAAGCTGATCTTCTGTATATTAAGATAATCGAAAATGAATCTTGATGTGAATGGAAGGGGAGAGGGAGTGGGAAAGGGGAGGGTTGTGGGTGGGAGGGACGGTATGGGGGGAAGCCATAGTAATCCATTATTCGTACTTTGGAAACGTATATTCATTAAATAAAAGTTAAAAAAAAATAAAGATGATATTGCTTTCAGTTTTGCAAGTAGCTCCAGAATGTAATAACTGCAATAACAAAGTCTGGTGATGAGCTGAACGAATGTAAGGGGGAAAGAAGCTGAAAAGGTGGCTTAACTCGAACATGCATTGGATGAAGCCCATGAATGCCTTCCTGAGTGGATGCAAACACAGAGCACAGGGTCCTGCCATATGCAACGCACTGGGTCGTCCCTGGCCAGTGGGGACAAGAGGAAGGGACCTGTTAGGTTGGCCAGAAAACAAAATGAGGATAGATGGAGCCTGGATTCTGAATAAATTGGATTATTAAGGTGCTCTATTCCATGAGGAGCTTTTCTGCTTCCCCTACTAGGAGTGAGTGTGATAATTCTAAAACCACTGGATTGTCAATGAGTAGCTGAACAATCCTTCTTCTGAAGACTGGGGGCTGCAATTTCTCTTAGAGAGTTTTCGAAGGAAGTATCCTGATGATCTCCTTGGGGGAGATGAGAAATTCCGGCTGGCAGGAAGGCAGGGTGGGCACCCAGCATTGGCTAGCTGAGGAGACGAGTGTTAAACTGCTCTGTGTGAGGAAATAGACGCTGGCTTTGTTTCCCCAGGGGGCGGTGGTGAAAGAGGAAGAGGTCCAGAGAAGGCAGGGAATGATGTGTGAGAAATATCCGGAGGGTTAGAAACATTTTTTGAATCAAGGATGTCCCCAAATGACACAGCATGTCAATGTGTATGTGTGTTTGTGCATGTTTGTAATGGCAGCTGTTTGATGCCTGTATCACACAACCTGTGTAGGAGAGTGAGGTGACTTCTTTTTTTTTTTTTTTTTAAGGTTTATTGTTCTATTTGAATGTCAGAGTTACAGAGTCAGAAGGAGAGAGAGAGAGACAGAGAGAGAGAGACAGAGAGAGAGAGAGACAGAGAGAGGTTGTTCATCAACTGGGGCATTCCCCAGATGGGCACAATGGCCAGTGCTGGCCCAGGCTGAAGCCAGGAGTTTCATTTGGGTCTCCCATGTGTATGGTAGGGTCCCAAGGACTTGGGCTGTCCTGCACTGCTTTCCCAGGGCATTAGCAGGGAGCTGGATCAGAACTGGAGCAGCCAGGACACGAACTGGAGCCTACAAGGGATGCTGATGTCACAGGTGGTTGCTTTACCCATAACACCCCAGTGCTGGCCCCGTAAGGTGATTTCTAAGGTGGACGGGGAGTAGCAGATGGCTGGAATTAGAGACTATGGAAATATAAGGTGCTCAGTCTTCTGCGGAAATTTCTGCAGATCTTGACTTTTTCAGGTAGTCTGTTTATCTTATTTAAGGTTCCAGTGGATCAGAGATCTCCACTGATATCAAATGATATTGCTACTCCTGTCAAGTACAGAAATCGATGACTCTCATAGGATATGAGTACTGGATATGCATGTATTACCAACCTTCATTGGTGTTGTGCTATTGACTTATTTAGAGGGACATTACAGAAACAATCACCTAAGTATCAGGCCTGAAGGAAAAGTATTGCTTAAAAATGACCTGTTATATGATTCTATGTCTCTATACAAAATCCCATGTGAAAAATTTCCACAGGAATTCAGCATCAAGAAGAGTGCTCCAGGGCAGTTGCTATGACACAGCAGGTTAAGCTGCCGTCTGAAGCCACAGCACCCCATAAGGGCACCAATTCATGTCTTGGCTGCTCCACTTCCAATCCAACTTCCTGCAAATGGCCTGGGATAGCAGTAGAAGATGGCCCAAGTACTTGAGCCCCTGCACCCACGTGGGAGACCCAGAAAAAGCTTCTGACTCCTGGCCCAGCTCTGGACATTGTGGCCATTTATATTCTCTCCCCTCCCACCCCGTGTGTGTATGTGTGTATGTGTGAATGTGTGTATGTGTGTATGTGTGTATGTGTGTATGTCCTTCTCTTTCCCTGTAACTCTGCCTTTCAAATAAATAGATGAATCTTAAAAAAAATAGAAAACTGCTCAATTTGGGGACCTGATTCACTTTCACTTGATAAAAAGAGTTGGAGATTTAGTATACCTGACTTTTCATTTCAGGTGCAAGATGCCAAGAACTCTATTTTTCTCAGTTACAACAATTTATTTTGCTTGTACACTTGTTGGTTTTACTTCTTCTCTTCTGTGGTTCTTCTGTTTGGTTTCTTTCATGCTACTCTGTTTTAGCATGTTTTCACTGGAAGCTACTCAAATATTCTATGGAGATATTTAGGAAAAAAATAAAATCGCACACTCCTGATTTTGTTCCATAAACATTTTCATCAGAATCCCACCATGTGCTAAGATACTGCAGTATGTCCCGATGGTGCTGCCAGCAGCACACATGCTCACGGGTTTCACTTCTGCACTTGGTGTCTTTTCTGTGGATTAGCTGCTCAGTGGGACCTGCACCACCATTTTCCACCCATGGAAGGGGAGGCACAACCACTTAGCTCTATATCATGCTGCCAGCTGTTCTTGTTCCTAACATTCATGAGTGAATTTAAAATGTATCACTTTTTGCACAAATGGAATAGATTTGTCTATTTAGCTCCAGAAATGACATTGGTCTCATTAGTGCATGGAGTAGGTTATTTGGATGAAGTTGTCTTGCAATGCAATTTAAGAAGGTCAGTGAAACCCAGGACACAGAGGGAAAGTCAATTTATAGGTTACAAAGGTTGGGAGGCCAACACATTGCTGTTGACTACCATGCATTGCTGCTAATGCTTACAGCTTGAAACTGCTCCTCCTTTTCTCCTCTACCCCTTGGCACTATTGACATTTTGGAACAGATAGCTCTTCATTGTACAGGACTGTTCTGTGCATTGTAGAAAGTTTAGTGTCATCCCTGGTTCCTATCCACTAGATGTCATTAGCACCGTCCTCCTCCAAGTGCTGAGAACCAAAAATGTTTTAAGACATTGCCAAATATCCCCTGGGTGACACAATCTCTCTTGGCTGAAAATCACTGATCTACCTCCATCCTTATCATCATAGGCTGCATCGCTGCTTTCCAACTCATCTTGGCTCCTGGAACTTTCTTCCTATCATGTTCTTTCCTTCAAAGGTGGTTGCTTGTGAAATGTTTTATGTGTGATTGATCCTTTCTATCTGTTCTGAAGCCATAAGCAAATGGTGCAACAGTGAACATGCTTGGCCTGCTCTGTTGCGACTCCCTTCTTACGTCTCACTGTCTTGAATGGCAGCCATTTTAAGGTGGTTTTCAATGCTGCTGCTGGAAC